AAGGTGGGGCGGGGCACAGGCCTGGGCGAGAGTGCCCCCGCCCCGAACCCACCCCATTGCCATCTATACCGATAACTGCTTCTTGCAAATTTAGAGCTTATTTGGTAGCAATTAAAATCCAATTAAAATAGAAAATATAGCCGTTATTGTGTCTCACTCGTCTAATAAAAGTCAACAATAACGATTAGTTTTTCAATTTTAATCCGATTTTAATCTCTACCAAACAAGCTCTTATTTTGTTTTCTTCAATAGAAGGGTATGAGCAAGAGGATTAAGGTACTATTTTTCTATTTCATCTGGGCATGTTTGAGCCCAGTTTTTTGTGTAGAATTTTGGAATAGTAAATTGATAGAGAACGTGTGATAAAAAATGAGGAATTATTTTGGATTTGCTTGTAATATTATTTTATTGAAAAATATGTTATTGAAAAAACAGAGAAAAATACATTTTGAAAATAATGGGATCAAAGAAGCACCTAATCACCCCTTGGAATTCTATCATTCTTAACCATTTATAATTAAATTTACGAGAAAAGATTTTGATATAGCCTCAATTTGAATACATATTTATAAACGGTTTATAAATTCAGTTAAAATCAAACATTGATTTATCACTTATTCATAATAATTGACTTATTATTATTCAGTAAACACATATCTCATGAGATTCACTACTATTTCACTTTTTTAATCATTTATAAATTTGTCAAATTGAGGCTTAATCAGCAAAGAAACGGGACATGTGAAACATATGGATATTTAATATATTGGAAGGACTGAATGATATATGATAAAAACTATAAGTTGTCAAAATCTAATATCTTATTAATTCCTAAGTTTGAATATACTAAAATGAGGGGTTTCTGCCTTTCTTTTTCCTTTTCGCAACCTCAAGCTAGTTGATCGACTGGTTTAGTACTAACCTAGATGAGACTTTGGGGAATAAATTTCTTTTTATTGATATCCAGGCTTTTGGTTTTTATGGAAAGTTTTGAGCGCTAGACAAGTAAATATAGGTAGTAACATTGCTAGTTTACTATACGAGTCGTTTGGATAACCCACTATACTTTCCAAAGCATGATCCCAGCCTTCCATGCCTTATCGTATCTCGAAGTCAACTCATATGTCGATGAAATATCATTCATAATGTCCACGAGAGTGTATATTGCCTCGGTGGAAGTGTATTTGTGCTTCATTATTCCCTTATTGGAGCATTTCTCACTTGCATGTGATCCTAAATAATTGAATCCATTGCGCAGCTATGCCTATTACGGATGTAACGCACCTTTAATATATCTGTTTTGCCCAAACTTCGATGCCCCGAATCTCCACTTGCAGCTTTCACCTTTACATTTTAGCACATATTCACGGTTGTCTGATTTGTAAACAATGTACTCGAAGTTATTTCGTATAGCATACAACGTACAACGTAATGTTGTCTTTCAACAACCTTTTATCATGGAAAATCTAATTTTCAGTGACAATAAAGATTTCTTGAGTTGACTTTAATTTCTTCCAGTAACACTCCCAACCCCCAACACTTAACCCCAACCCTAATTACAACTCAATGAATTGAAGTTTTGAACACGGAATTTGCCAATATGTTTTGGACCTAACAAAATCCACTCGGATACAAATCACAAATGATTCATTTCCTATTAGACGATTATATTGAAACCTTAGTTTCTAATCATTGTGCCACATTTTAATTGCATTAAATATTTTCAATTTATGCTCATTGCTGCACTTATCCAAACTTTTATTGTCACTTGCTTCATTTTCATAATTATCATGTCCGACTAGATTATGTATTTGTAACGCCACATATGATTTATGTGATAGATGTGTATGCCTTCTTAATATGTATTTAGGCCCCGTTTAACACATTTTCCATGGAAAATGGAAAAAAAATTTCAATTTTCCAACTTTTGTAGTATTTGATAGGCAAATATTTCCCAGAAAAATATTTTCCAACTTTCCAAACTTTCCACATTTTTTAGGAAAATAAATTCTTGATATTTTGGTGGTAATATTTTCCAGTTTTTTTTTTCCTGACAATTAGAAAAAATTCTAGACACGATGGTAAAAAAATATTTCACTTTTATTGATAATTTCCATACAAAACAAAGCCAAACAAATGGTATTCGATATGATTTTTTTTTTTTTTGGAATAAATTCTAGACCTAATGGTAGAAAACATTATCACTTTAATGGATAATTTTCATAAAAAAACAAAAAAGTCAAACGGACACCAAACGTTCAACATTTTCCATGAAAAATTATACCGATCAAACGCAATTAATTACAATTTCCAGTATAACAATTTTTAAGCAAATCAGTTCCCTGTAAAACATTTTCTTTCCACCCATTTTCCACATTTGCAATCAAACAGCCCTTAATGTATACTTAATAATTTTATTGTTATTGAGATTATTATTATTATTATTATTATTTTGCAGTAGAAAATGCATGCCCTAACGATTAACGTGCCAATTAAGTTTAATTACAATATATATAATTTAATGAAACTAAGAGTAAAATAAGTGATTTAATATATGCCTATTACGGATGTAACGCACCTTTAACATATTGTTTGCCCAATCTTCGATGCCCTAAATCTCCACTTGCAGCTTTCACCTTTACACTAGCACATATTCACGGTTGTTTGATTTGTAAACAATGTACTCAAAGTTATTTTGTATAGCATACAACGTAATGTTGTTTTTCAACAATCTTTTATCATGGAAAATCTAATTTTCAGTGACAAAATCCACTCATGTTTGTGACACAACAATAAAGATTTCTTGAGTTGATTTTAATTTCTTCCAGTAACACTCCCAACCCCCAATACTTAACTCTAATTACAACTCGATGAATTGAAGTTTTGAACACGGACTTTGCCAATATGTTTTGGACCTAACAAAATCCACTATGGATACAAATCACAAATGATTCATTTCCTATTAGACGATTATATTGAAACCTTAGTTTCTAGTAATTGTATCACATTTTAATTGCATTCTAAATGGAAACATTCATGACTTTTTTATATTAAATAAATTTAATGATATTTTATTTAATTAATAGAAAGTCAATCTGCAAGGCACTATCTCGGGTAATGGAGCCTTGAAGGAGTTTTTATTTGCAAATTATCATATTTTATTCTAAAAATGAAAGTCGAGATTTTACAAATTAGAAATCCACATTGCATAATGAATTACAAATTGGCATTCCCAGAATAAAAAAACGTCCAATTCATTCCCTCCCAATCACTACTTTATTGTTTTGACCTTTCCATAGCTAAATTATTTTTCCTAAACTTCAATCCTACACCACATAGAAAGGGAAGTACGAGAGTTATAGATACTTGAAACTACGTAATTCTTCATGCTTTTCATTAATTTTGAGGTTAGCATTTTGTATTAGTTTTAGAGTAATACTATGTAGCCTTACTGGAGTTACAACTCCAGTCTAGATTGGTAGATGATAAGCTAAACGAAAGGTAAAATTAAATAACTTATTTAGCTCCAGACAAGCTCTTAATTCCACTTATCATTTAATGTAATATTAACGCCACTTAAATTGGAATTATAATCCCAATGAAGTTAAAAAGTATTACTCTTTGTTTAATTATAATTTATGATTACCTTAGTGATAAATATAAATGCTTATAATTAATTGTCCATAAATTATAATTGTTATATTACATATTGGCTTTTTGGAGATCTAACGGATTCAAAGAGGTGTTATTTATCATTCTTGGTATGAAATACTTATCTTCATAAATTGGCATCCGATATCTATATATTACATGTAAAGAAAAATAAATATAAAAATTATCTATTGATAATATTTAGAACATGGAGACATTCAGGCTTATATGTGCTTATATAATCTTCCAGAATAATTAATAGTGTATATTTATAATTTATTGATTTGATTTACATTAAATGGTTAATGTGAAATGAGGAAGTAAACGAACCTTAGCACATAATCCTATTTTCACCACTTGTGTGCCACAATGTTTATTGCATGCTCCAGTTTAAAATGTTATTTAATTTATTGTATTTTCTACCAAACTTTATTTTTCAAAAATTAACTATCTCCAATTTTTTTAAAGAGATAAAATTGTATGATTTCGTATTACTCATTTTCTTTAGATTGTGTTTATGCGACAAATATATTAACATGTTTGACTTATTTGATCCGTCTATGTAATATATTACTAAATATGTAATTATATATATACAAGTAACAAATAAATATGTTAAAAAAGAGGGATTGATATCGGATATGTCTAAATGGTTATGTCGGAATTTCTTATTAAACGGTAATGATTTAGGACTCCTAAGCAAGTTCATTTTGTGGACCGTTGCAAACATCTCTATATTCTATGCAATGTTCTAAAAAGCGTAAAGC